CTGGCCGCGAGGGCGGCGCGGAGGCGGCGGGCGGTGCGGAGGCGGCGAGCGACGGCTGCGGCGGCGACTCCTCGCCAGTTGGTTGCGCCATGGAGAAGTGGCGTCTTCAACCTCGATCCACTCCGATTCGCGCGGATCTCGGCCTCTGGCGGCTCTGGCCGCTGGATCTCGTCGTCGGGTGCGCGATCTGGTGCTTGGGGGCGGATCCGGGGGAAACCCCTGGCCGGCGCGGCGGCCACACCGAAGGCGGCGCCTTTGTGCATCGTTTACCTTGTTGGAGGCTTCGGTGGGACTCCTCCTCCTCCCATCCCGTCCAAGAGCTCAGGTGAAAGCCTCAGGTCCCCTTTTCCTGGCGACAACGGCATTTTGGTGGCGTGTTCCTTCCTGAGGGTGTCGTCCGGGGATGGCTCGAGTGGTGGTGGAGTTGGGTGTGGTTCGAGGGCGGCAAATGATGGCCTGATTTCATCAACGGCATCCTTCTCTAGTCCAGGTGCGGAGGGTTCCAGCCGCAGGTTCGAGGGGATTGGGGTCCCTGCCTCCATGCCGGCGGTAGGCCTTCGGTGTGGCGATTCCTATCCTTGACCAGGGGCATGGTGTCGCATCCTTTTGGCCTTCTCTGAGGTTCCAGCGTCTGTGCCCGATAACTCTCGTCCGGTGTTTTGCCTTGCTGCTGCCATCGACGGTGTTGTGGTGGTCGGCCCTCCGTTTCATGTGGGTCTGTCCCTGGTGCCTCTCCTTTGGCAGCCGGGGCACTCTGATTTGGATTCTAGGGTGAATCACTCTGTCGGCCGCCGGTGCGGCACCCGTCGAACCCGGGTGGTAGGGTAGGGACCCTTTGAGGTGGCGGAGTCAGATCAGGTGTGCCCTGTTTGTCCCCTTTGGTGGCAGCTAGCGACACAAATCATGAATGGTGGTGCTCTCCTCCTGGCGCCTCCGTAGGTTAGCTAGTTTTTGGCTTTGCGTCGTTCGATGGCAAGAGTGGTGTGTGCTCTTTGCCTTCGAGTTGTTCTGCTGAGCACCTTGTATCTTTTTCTTTCCGCTTTCCTCTTTCTTGTTGTAAGTTGCAGTCTTGTTCGCCTGGCCGGTTGATGGCTTTGTTAATTCAAAGCCGGGCTCTTTCTTGAGCCTTCGTTCTAAAAAAAAGAAGTGGTATATATGTGTGTGAGGATAGTAACATGCTCTTGGTGGACAATTAACAGACACATGAACAAAAGAAAAAAGACACAGGAACCTAAGTGAAGCACCTTTTCTTGCAATGAGAAGGCCATGTTGGAACCGGACGATGAAGGTAACGTGGGAAATGTAAACCGGAGTACTTAGCTAGGAATCGATTTCATCTATCCGGGCGAGCATCCGGCTTCCCCTTAACCACCGGCGCGCAGCGCACCTGTACGTACGCTGGGTCCTTTTCCTCACAGTGATTCGTATGTGTGTGAGGAGCGATAGTACCTCAACAAACCCCACACCCCGCCGGCCTAACAAGACACCCAGTTACGTGTGCGAGGCCTAGGCGTCGCCCCAGCCAGGATTCATCTAAAGGCGGCCTTAATTTCTTGGGAGCTTAGAGTTTTAGGAGATTGATCCAACAGTTTAAATGTGATGCATAGAATCTACTGCAGTTTGAGAAAGCAGAGGAAGGAACTCGCCCCTAATGGCTGAATATACTACTCTACCAGAATTAAGTGGTAATAAAGCAAAATCGATAGGAGGGGATTAAGTGGAGGAGCGTACGTACCTGCCGCCCCATCCCCATCGGAAGAAGAAGGCTCAAGAACTGGTGAGGGTGCCGCCGTCTTCAGTCCAGTGGAGATCGGCGATGCTGATGTACCCCAAGATGCACCCGCTTGCTTCAGTGCCCTGGTGCAAAGAGACAGGGGTCCTTATATCCAGCCGCGTTATCGTACTACCACTAGCAGAAGCATGATCCATCACCCTCGTTTAGCTCGAGATTCTCTCCTCAACTGCCTCCTAGCTAAATGGAACTGATAGACAAATATGGTGCCTGCCTCCCCTCGCACTGCACACTATTGCAAGTTTGCAACCGCCTACCAAAACGGTACAAGAAACATGGCGTGATGAGAACAACAAAGTAAACATTATGTGGTTACTTATGCTTATGTATGCATGGCTACAAATTGGATAGCTTTCAAGAATTTGACTCTTAACTAGCAGTTCTATCAGTGTTATTATTTGACAAATGAGATTTAGATTCGACAAAGCCACCTGATATTGGTGGGAGATTACGACAAGCGTGTATTTGCCTAATTTGTGTTGAGTGGTGGGATATTTTGTGTACGCCTCCGCATTGTGTTAGTTTGCTCGTCTTTAAGTTTGTATGACAAACGGGCCTTCGTTGCTGTACGTATATATAGCATCGCTTTTCATATCATGTTACGACACTGGGAGGACATACTAATTAAGGTGAGTAACTCTCTGATCCGACGGAACGAAGGATGATTCCGTCTCCTGCAAAAACTAAAGTTTCTTCCCATGAAGAAAGAAAAAGTAATCTCGCCAGCAGCCATCACGAGAGTTACTTCCGCCGCCATCCTCTGACGGTTCCGCTCCGCTGACGACCCCGGTCGTCGGTGGTGAGGAGGATCGTTGTGGATATGCGCGTGGATCGTGTAGATTTAATTTTTAGGCCTTAGTAGCTTAGGGTTTTTTGGTTTTTCATCATCTTCTATACTACTATTAAAAGAGCAAACATAACTTCCTCTAAAGCCACACACCAAAGTGTACACAGGAATATCGGAGATGTTAGATCAATCAAACTAAATTACATCCAACAACCCATATTACATCTAAGGTCTGCCACACAAATTAACGCTCCAGATTAAATGTTCTGCCAGGCAGACTACCCCGCGCACGTCCTGTCCCTCCGCACATCACGCCGCTAAACACATCTGAACCCAACAAATTATCCATTGCCCCAACCGCGCCCCCGCCTTCCTTCCCCACCGCGGTGCTCCCCTCTCCCCACGGACGCCTCCCAGGCTCTGCCGCCGCCCCGCGCGACGGACACCATCTCTCCCCTATTTCCCTCCTCACCTCCACGGCCACGCCGCGTCGCCGCCCGAGTCCCGCTGCGGTCGCTATGATCTGCCGCGCCGCCCCGTAGCCCCACACCCGAAGCTGCAGCCGAGATGCATCTGAGCGAGAACGAGGGGATCGAGGGCGTGCGGTTCGTGGTGACTGGCGGGCAGAGTATCGTCCGCGCCGCGCTATGCCTGGAGCTGATTCGCCGCGGCGCCCTGGAGGTCTGCTCCCTCGACGGCTCGATCTGTGCGATTCCTCCTCTTGGTCCCAGCAGCTCCTCGACGCCGGCGTCCGCTTCTTCCAAGGTTCTCTCCCTCACTCTCTTTTGCTTAAATTACTGTGGCTTTTTTCTTCTGTCGTCATGAGTGGGCGTGAGACTTAAATGCAGCGTAGCATCGAAGAAGGTAATTTGTTTTTCTGTCCAATGTATTAAAGCTATAATGTACGTGCTTAGTAAATTGTTTAGGGCGGTGTGAGACTTATAATGCCTGCCAACTTAGTGAATTGATAAACCTGGAAGTTTGTGTTTTTTACTTCACTTGAATTTGCACAATTCAGTTATGTGTTCATTGAATGGATTTGACAGGACATTTCCTGCAGGCAATGAGGGAAGTAGATGGGCATGGCTGATCTGTTCGTCATGCAGTTATGTGCTATCTTATTCCCTGATGTTGAGTGTGAGTCCATGCATGTGCAAGCTATATGTGCTCTTAAGTTATTAGTGTTCTCTAACTTATTTCCTACTATTCCTGCATGGTACCACTTTTTCCCTACCAAGGATAGATGAGCCTATTAACCTTATGTTGCCTGTCTATGTCAGATTTAGAACCCAGCAAAGAAATATGGCAGAAATTTGCATATTAACCTTTCTTGTGCAGGTTCGAGATATAAATGGCATACAGATGCTTCTTTGCCATGAGTGTGTAAACTTGATGAGGCAATATGGTCTTCAAGCACAAGAAATACCCATGGACGTGAGTGCGGGCTGCTGCTCCGGCCTCCACTCCTCTGCTTGACCACCGCCGCCACCATGTTGAGGCCCTCGCCACCAAGCGGCATGCTTTCCCGTGAGTTAGCTTCTTCAACACATGTTTCTCTGAATTTCTACAAGCTAAATTAGTACATGCTTCTCTGAACGTTGGCATGTATGGGATTCTTGTATGTTATGATTTGCCCAATGTGCTCTTCCTACACCCATGGATAGGGCAAGAAAAATAATTAGAAAGCATGAAAGATGCCAATCAATACTTTCTGTTGGATATATCAATTGTTTTAGCTCTTCCTACACCCAACCGCCACATTCTAAATTCTGAAGGTTCCAGCTGGGATTCCTGTTCTGTTCATACGTTCCAATTTAGCGTTTTAGTTCAAAATTAGAAGCTGGATTCTGTGTATAGTTATTCTCATGTCCATCATATGAACTATGCGTGTGTACTCATGTTGAATTGATGTGTGATACTGAGTCTTTGCATTTTCAATCGCTTTGCTTTTTCTTCATGATTTGGTGCATGTGCATTTTCACATAATTTGTAACAAACCAATTCATATTTTCGTCAAGCTTGAATCATTTTGTTCTTTCATAATGGTTGGAGATGTGGTTTAGGAGGATCAACAGCTAATGGCAAACGCGTCAGCGAGTTCCGAGTGTGGTGGCCCGTGCAACATGAAGAAGACCATCCGGACAAAGGGCAGGTACACAAATAGCCAAGAACACAAGGAAACGTGTAGGTCTGCGTTTCTGAGTTATATCTCTTTTAGCACTAACGATTAAATGGTCTGTAGCTGGTCAGGTGTGCTTGCCCAACATTTGCTAGATCCATGCTTGCTTCTATGTTGTTCTTGCAGCCTCAACTAGCTAATTTTATTTAAAGCAAATGTTGTTCTATCCTTCCAATTACTGTTATTCAGATCTTCTATTCTTTTTTCTGTTGTCATTCACAGTACAAATGTTATGAGAATTTCAGGAATTTTTTCATATCTTTCTCCGAGTTACCTTAATTTTGTAAATTGTGCTCTAATTCAGTTTTGAGTTTGTTTTCAGAAAAGCCTACTTTAAACCTGTGTAAATCCATTATTTCCTTTGAGTTTGCCGTGGAGGTGAGTTGGGAACCTTTTTTATACTTGGTGGATGCACTGATGTAGTGACGCCGACTTGCCTGAATGTTGTTTTCCTCTGCGTGTAGTGCTTACAATTCTCAAAGGCGTCAACAAGACCCGGAGGAGATTGACAAGGTGCAGGCAAGATCTCAAGTTCATTGTTGTCTTTTTCTGTCTGAACATTTTCTTATTTGGAGTTGCAACCCATTTATGGTGTGTCAACCGATTTGGCGTAGGATGTATTGTAGTTGGTTTGGTTGCATCAACCAACAAGTCTTATTATGTATTGCAGTTGGTTTGGTACCATCAGCCGACTGGCCAGTTGCAAAACCAGCGGGGTAAACATGTATTGTGAGCTCCCCTTGCATTCAGTGTTTAGAGCTTGATGAACAATGTTGTGTCAGCTTGCTGACGATCTGCTATTTTTCACAAAATTGGGACATGTCGGATGGTCGATGTGAGGTTCTCCAAGTAAAAAAAATCCTCATTTGTCCATTCTGATAGTCTGATGGAATTTTGTTGATAAGAACCTACAGTTTCCTGGCTGAGTTTGGGTTAGGAGTTCCGTATATATGCGCCAAGAAAGTACTATATAGGGAAATCATGATATGCTTTTTTTGCAGTGCCAACACTGAAAATGTAAAGTGTGTCATGCATGACTTTTATATGTGTTTTAGGAATTGGAGGATAGCTCTATAAACAAAATTCCTTATTCTGCACTTCTCTGCTTTGCTTGGCAGGAATTCTTGTTGTAAAGTGCGAAGGCATGGTTTGGTTTGCATGACATTATCTTCAATTGGCTGGAGATATATAAATGTTGATACTTGATTTTCTCACCTGGCATCTTATCACTTCTGTGAAAGACACTTCATTTTCTCATAGTAATAGTTCTTTATTATTGTTGATACATAAATGGATCTTTATTGAATCGTACTTGTATGTGTGTACGGAGAATGGTGATTAACCTTTTAAATAATCTATTATCCAACAAGGTGATTCTAATTTCTGATTAGATTATACTATAACAATATGATTAGCAAAAATTCAAACGGTTGTATATTTGACACATACTGCAATGGGCCGAAGCCCTCCTGTATACTTTGTTCAAATACTGAAATTCATTTACAGGGGATTATAATCATTTGGGCGCTATGCATTGAGAAAGTGTGCATTTAGATCAGAGATTATATAATTAACGCAAAGACGTGGGATGTTTTTTTCAACAAGAATGTTGATCATGACGAATGATAATCAAATTTTTTTGTGAGTCAAGAAATGCACTTTGTATGAATTTTCAAAAATTTCAAAAAATCTATCTATATTTCGTTAGAGTTTTTCATGTTTGATACGTGCGTTGCACGTGCACTCTTACTAGTAAAAGGAAAAGAGAAGAAAAAAAGTGAAACAGAAATAGTGGTATAGAAAAGAAAAATGAAAAAACGAAACAGAAACACTTGGGCTGGCCTGCCTGGCCTGCCGAGAGAAACCTTCAGCGAAAGCTCGTCTATTTGCCGCACACGGATGGCAAATAGGATTTGCCGATGAGGCGGCAGCAGCAGCGGATAGGGCACTAGGACACGACGGGGTGGTAGCGGCCGGCGGCGCGCATCTGCCACGGGCAGGTGAATGGCGACTCAGCGAGGCCGCAAGGGTGAGCAGATCAGCAGATGCGGTCGGGAAAAAAAGATCGAGTACTTGTATTATGCCGCTGACTTCTGTAGATTGAAATTGTATTACATCAAGTATTAAAATACATACGTATGGTCTACCGTTTTAGCTCTGTACTTGTGCATTGCTTTTATTCTAGTGCTCTCGCATCATTGAAAAACTAATTGATTTGTTTCCTCTTGTGACTAGATATGGATATTTAGAAGAATTGATTTTGCTGAAATTAAGAATGAATGTCAAAATAGACCAAGAAGAATGCCTTTGCCACGGTCTACTTAATAAAGTAAAGCTTTATTATAGGTAGGTATTCTCACTTGTATAGTGTGTGTTTTTTATGATTATATTGTACTAGTTACAAATCCGTGGTTTATCTATGGTTTCTATGTTTATAGACATCTTGTGTGTTTAGTTATTAAACGATAAATTGGTGATCCATAATTCATATAAGCTTCATCTAGTGAGGTATTTTGAGTGTCAGTATTTACTTTTGGATTTCAGTTATATTTCTTGAATATAAAGTATTCTACTGAGCTCATGCATTGTTGTAGTATACATGATTTTCTCCTTCAAAAACTTCACCACAGCTGAAAATTAGTCCTGCCCCCACCACTGCATATAGGATCAGGAGACAACTCTAGCTGCAAGGGCTAGTGGAGAACGTGGGCGATCGTGGTCGAGTCCCAGGCAATCGTGCTGCGTGACCGAGTCTTCATGCTGACTAACAAGGATTACCACATGGCACATGTGGTAAGCAATTCAAACTATTTTAGAAAAAAAAGGACGGCTCACACAGTATCATTGGTGAAGTTATGTGTATGACGGGTCCCCCCCGGCCTTTGGAAGAAGTGCGAAGGGGGAGAAATTACACATCTTACCCGTATGTTGTTCCAATGGATGGGCTGAAGGACACCACGAGCTAACTTATTGATGTTTGGGCAGTTTAAAAATATGGCAACTCTAACCGATCCCTTAAAAGTTAGTGGAGTATCCGGCCTAGTAAAGTTAGTGAAGGAAAGTTATCCTCCTCTATAGGTGGCCGCACCTAGCTGATCCCCTAAACACTTCATAATATATATCATTATTGAAATTCAACATGCATAACATAACCGTCATAACATATAGTTTCATCATCGTGATTTTCAAATAAAACACATGCATAGTTTACCCAAAAGGCATCACTTCGAACACAATGTTTGATCCAAAATCACCAAAAACATAGCATTTACATGTTGGGGATCGAGCCAACCAATGCATGCACCACCACCCCCTCGGTCACCATCACTCAAACAAGGTCATCAGCGAAGAAAATATCATCATCACCACCACCACCACCACCATCCTCTCGGCCACCATCACCACCACCACCCCCTAAGGGCACCACCACCATCCTCTCGGCCACCATCACCACCACCACCCGCTCGGCCACCACAACCATTCTGAAGAGCGGCTTCCACTTGGGTCAAGATCTCCCCATGAGTGAGCTCGCAATACTTTCTTGCGATTTCATCCATTGTGGTTGGATTCATGAACATGATAGCATGCTCTTCGGCCTTCTTGGAATCACGAATCCTCTCCTTGTCAAGTGCAAGCCTACGCTCTT